TAATCCCCCCCGAGGGTCTTGTGTCGTTGGAAAAGAAAGAGAAGGATGTACGTAATAAGCCCTAGAAAGGGGGGAATAGAGGGGGGGCGGTCCACTGGTGGTTGTGTGTACGTGAACCGTCCACCACAGGCATCATGTTTTTAATAAGCGACGGACTTGTAGCACGTAGCTGATATTACCGCGACACTCTTTTACCCCTGTGCCACACACATAAACCCTTTCAGCCAGACCGTTTCGTGATTACCACCCCCCTACCCCCTTATCCCCGTACTTTCTAATATCACTGGAGAGAACTAGAAAGGAAATTTCAGGGAGAAAGGTCAAGACATGTATAGGGCTTCTAATTAACTGCCGTCACAAGTAATGGAGGGATAAGGTGGAACAATTTGGATCGAGTTATTTTTTATTGGAACGGGGGACGCCCTCATGTCAGACTCATTTGAGATACCGATTCACGCATTTTCGTTCATTGAAAAGAAAAAGGTTTTTTTAAAAATGTGTAAAATATATTCTAACGTAAAAAAACATGAATACACCGAGAAAATCGTCGACGGCTGACCACGATTATTCGCGGAGTATATTAATACGCCGGTCGTTCCGTACAGAACTCTTCCGACCGATCGAATCACATCGTCGTTAATTAATATCATCGTCACACTTCTCAGGAAGCCAGGGGAAACGCTCCGACCATTCAAAACGTGAGATACCTATAGCCGTATCCCTGAACCCTAATCTCGCGATTAGATCTAACAATTGCGATGTGTCGCACGTCTATATGCCTACGAAGCATTCCGACGCAGTGCAGCTATTTAAAACCTCGTTTTGGCCATTCAATATTCGCTCCATGAAATTACTAAGACATACCGTTCTCACCAGTAACATGCTCTCGTCCAGTCAATGGAGAAATCGCAAAAATTATCGAAATGCACCGCAACCATACCCAAATTTGGCGCCAAAAAAATCCCCACAATCACAGCAACTTTCGTATGTTCTCCGAAACGATGTAAACAAAATTCGAAACAAATACGATGTCTCTGCATACGATCACTCGATTAAATTACAACAATGAGATATATACCCACAATAACGCGATGGTAATGTCATCCCGGGGGTAAAAACAAAGCAGAAAATACTAACAGACAATAAAACGCAATAAACCATAAATACGAGAAAATGAGAGAAAAAAAGAATCGAAAACGAAGGAAGATATAGGAGCGAATATTGCTGGGGTATATTATTAATATACGAGATGCCACGATTAGAAGAGCTCACTCTGGAATTTTTCTGCCCGGTCGTAATCGCGTCCTCATCAGGCACCCTCGCTGTATTACATTAATGATATTGATTCGGAAAAATACAATCAACCCGTTTCCACTTCTCCCCTCTTCTCCCTCTCTCACGATTCCTCAGTCCTCCCACACTCGTCTCTCACTCCTATTTTCAGCTCCCACTCTTTGGCAAACGATCGTTGGCTCATCCGCGATTCTCATGTGCGAGCTTCCCAAGGTAAATATATATTACATGTTTACTCAGGGGGTAATGTGAAGCACATTTCTATGACTACGTGGATATTGCCCCTCTGTTGGTTTGTTTTTTTTTAGGTCAATGTGAACTGTATCGCTAAAAGGGATTTCTTATTAATTCCCGATGAAGACTCGTCTGCTCTTTCTATGGAGTAAGTTCTTCCATTTACACATTAATATTTCCTTCAGGGATTTTATATTCACCCAGTTATGCGACCACTCCCGAATGATTTATTGTTCGATTGCCCAACACAACCCCCTATTTGAGGGAAAATGTCACAACTCCAATTTCCGTCGGTTCGTTATTTTCACGACACTTTAATTTCTTAAAGACTGTCATTTTTCCGGTATTTTTGGGGAGTCAGTGGTGTGGAAATCCCCCTCGGGGGTTGGAAATGACCCAAAATTGACAGGATCCACCCCCTTTCTGTGCATGTCGACGCCATAAATTATTAAGCTTCGGCCACTCGATCGTGGTTTTTTCGGCACTCCACGTCGGTCTGTTCGTCTAATGGCCCCTGTCACATACCCCCGGAACCCGCCAACTTTTTTCAAAGCAAACGCGATCATTAATGGAAGATGACATCTCTCCATTTGTTATTTTCTTGTGTTTATTTTTGTTCACATTGATTACTCACTTCTTAGAGGTTATTACAGAGGAACTACAGTGGGAATTTGACTTTCGTCCGATCACAAATGCCATCTTCACTTGGCTGATGACACTCTTATTTAAATCAGATTGTTTGAATATTTACGTCAATCATAAAAAATAAATAGGCTATTCGATTTTGGTAAATGGGTAAATGGGATTATTGGGTCCGATGAACTGGATGGCTTAGAAAGTCAAGTCGATTGGACAAATAAGTTAAAACCCCACCTCCAAAAAATGTGGATCACGTGCACGAGTTTCACTCGATATCTCACAGAACGATTAATCATATTAATTGCAAGGACGAGCGACTGGAGCGTCAGCAAGAGCACCGAGACGATTCACGCCCTGAGAGGAAGTTGAGACCCCTCTTAATTATAAATTGTAATTAGTGCTCGAGCCACACGGTGCCGATTAATAAATGTTCCACCCCCCTCCCCCCTCCGGGCAATTAATTATTTAATTTCGAGCTGAACAAGTGTTCGAATCAATGCTCTCTGTAGAAAAATTTCGATTTATTCGTCTAACTGGTTCTTTCCACCATCGACTCAATCTAGTATTTTACGGTCTCAGTCCTCATATTTGCATACACCCTCTGTCAACATTTTCATCACACCCATATCTCAGCAAGTAATTATCAATAATTTCACCCCAGATTAATTATCATTTCCACGCGACTCAATTTACCTCAGCGTAAATATCTTGTTGCCGGGTGATAAGGACTCGTAAAGTTTTACGACGTTAAATAATAGTCCTAATAATAGCTATCCAATCGACATCACGCCCGATCATTTCTCGGAATTACAACTGACCGATGTTAACCACTAACTTTCTCACTCGCCCATTACAACCACCATCAATTAATATCTTGTAATTAATCCACAGCGAAATGAAAACCAGAAATTCTTATCACCACACCCATTTTTCTTTCGCATTTACCCCTCCCCATCTCTCATTTCAATTCTGGTTTTGTATCTTTTTAATGACCCCCCCCCCCCTCCCCTCCCCTCATATAATTGATCAGTATGGAGTGCAATGAGTATCAACAGCGATCATCGGCCCTCGGTAACATCCCAAGGGTAATAGCGTTAATTACCGGTCCCTGGGTGCATAATTGTGAAAGGAGAGAGAGGGAAGTAGTGGACTTAAACTATAGTGTAACAGCTTGAACGGTCAATTATTATTCCGGGTCTCGACTGATTAGTCACTTGCCATCACAAAGTGTTAGATCGTAAGCAAAAAATTACGCTGCAACAACTAATGACGCGTTTTCCCCCAGTCTTTTTCGCCCTCTTTTATATTTATTCGAATGCTTTTACCGTGACTCTTTGCACGACAAGTAATTATTCAACACCCTTGATTGGAATACTGATAGGTACTTCACGCGAGGGTTTTTACGTTGTACGATGAGTTTTCAAAGAATCATTTTCACCCAACGGCTATTGTTGTTGTTCAATCAATTTTTCTTTCTCATTGGCATTTTTCAACGGTAAATGTCAAGAAATTCATTACTCCGTGGGGCATAAATTTATCCGTTGCAATGTCTCATTACGCTCCCTCGTGCGCACTGGCATTTATCAGATTTGGAGGATGGAAAATTATTTTTATCGACGTTTTAATGCACCAGACAAAAATCTAAAATGTGAATTGTCCGATGGTTTATTGCTACTGTCCATGCGAACCCGATAACCATCTCGATGAGGTGACGGCAGATTCCGTGTACCCAACGTGGTGTTAATTACCGGACAATTACGGCATTATGGATAACAGTGGAATCACCGCGTTGGTACTGGATGTTTGCATCATTGAATCATCGGGAAGGTTAATGTCAGGAGAAACCAGTAGTGGCGCTGGTTAGTTCCCAGTGGACAACTTGTTACAAATAAAAATAACTATTGCATTATCAATCAGTCGGAGAATTAATGAGTGCTGAATTTGATTGGATGAATTCGTTCTTTCATATAAATAGCATGACAAAGAAAAATCACCGATAAGGAAGATGAAAAATTGCCAAACATCGAGGAAGTGTTTGTTGGGTGGGACGAGAAAATCAATGTGCTGTTATTATTCCCTGACATTACAGTACAATAACCAAAGGCGCCATATAAGACTAGTTGGTCAGACAACGTGTGAGGCGGACTTGCATGCCCATACCATTTCCCTCTCTCTACCCCTTGCATTCACACGTAAATCACTCGATTCACTGTAGGGGTAATGCGAGAAGAGAGCTCCGGCGATAGTCTAGTCGTTAAATATCGTCGTTATATTCGTCAGGTTTATAACGATCCCAGCAATAAAATCATTTACACGGTCTTGTGGTGGGCCCCTCAAGGGGGTGGCAGGTTGTAGAAAAAAATGCAGTGAAGGTGAGGATGGGGGAGAGAGAGAAAAAAAAAATTCAAGTCTCGGGGCGAGTTCGTTACCATCCTTGGAATTGCTTTCTTCTCCTCAGCACATTTCGCCTGCCAGATGAGCAACACTTTTTCTTTTTTCTTCTATTTATTTTCTCAGTTTGGTTGAGTTTTTTTCCCCCGTATTTTCTCACTCTACAATCTCGGGGGGCTCTCTTATCGGCCCGCATTGAGATGCCTCGTAATTTCAAGAGAAATCGGCACCGAGTTTGCCGCGAAAGAACGCGCGCGCCATTTCTTATCTCGGTATATTCGATCGTGATTAAAAATCCTGGGGGAGTTAGCGGATTTTTTTTTAAATGCCCAGTGGCCGAGAATATGAGTTCTATTATTGTGGCTCAGATGTGGAATTTTCGATAGTGACATCATGATTGTTTATTTCGAGTGGCTTGAATAAAAAAAAAGACGTCTACATACCGAGAGCGATCCATTGGGTTCTTTTTAAATTCACCCGTTGACGATTCGCCAAGTTTCGGATTTCTTCAATACTCCGTTGTTATCCCGTCGTTTTTTATGAGTTTGTCTCACTAAAACAAATTACTGTGCACTAAAAACACGCGGTCACTAACTGGTATCAGTTAAACTTTGCATTTCGGTATGTCCCGGCGTTTTGTTTTGATGTCTTTTTTTTTCGATGAACACCAAAGAAAATGTAAACACTTTTTGCTGTCGACTCACTTCTCACCGTTTCTTTCGATCCAGATTTAATTCTCAACTCGATAAAATCAAATTTTAAAAGCTGATTAATCCTGTCGCCATTGCCAGAATTAACGTCACAAAAAGCGGTCGAGACACGGGCAAAAGCACTTGGAAATTGCCGAAATAAACCCCCATAACAGTGGGCACGTAGAACTGGCAATATCAACTATTTTCCATTTCACAAAGTCACAAATCTCGGTGATAAATCCGTGCGGTATTTAACAATAATTAACTCCGTTTGACCACGATATACAATCGATCTCACCTGACTTTTGTATGGATGGATCGCTACACGTGGCGAGATGGTCCGTGGGCCACCGTCTGTAACTACTTCCTCCTGTCCCGGCCAATCACAGAGCCGGATTCCCACTCGGCCCCCCTCGGTGGTGATCGGCTCGCTTCGTATTCCACCGCTTTATTTTCAAAACACAATGTTTTAAGAGGGAAAAAAAAAATCCCGACCTACGATAAATTCCCGGGACAGGTCCGGAGGAAAAACCGCGTGGTCGCGACGCATCCACAACCCCGCGGATATGTATTCACACTGTCATCGCCATTTTCACCTCAATCCCACCGACCAATCCAACAGATCAATTCAATCGATCAATTCGACCGATCAATCTAACCGATTAATTCAATCGATCCAACCTTCGCGAGGCACAAACCGATAGCAAGGAATTTTTAACTCAAATATTCACTTGGTTGTGCATTTATATTAAAATAATAAACTGTGAAATAAATAGAGCGCGTTAAAAAACCGCGCGGTGCAGTTTCACAGGGAGCGTGCGCCTCGTCCAGCGTCCAACACGGTACTACCTCACTCCCCTTCTCGCTCACCCACTCGCGTCTTTTCTCTCTCTCTCTCTCTCTCTCTTTCTCTGGATTACAAACTCCCCCCCAACGCCCCCACCCGTCGACGCGACACTGCCATATCCCCCCCGTATCTCCCCGTCATCCTGACGTCCCTACGGCCTCTCGCTCTAAGACGAAAATAAAAAAATTTGGATTGTAATATTTTCGAAAAGCAATTATTTCTTTCCCAGACAATCGATCAGCCGATTTTTCACATTTTTATTATTTAATCAGCAATTATTGATATAAGTATATATCCGATACCGTGGAAAATACTGTGTTCGATTTTTAAAAAATGATGGACTATATTTTTGAGGGTGATAGACGCGAAAATTCATAATGCGCGTTTATAAATTCTGCCTTCGTGTGTTTATTATAATTTAATAATTAATTGTCATGACGTCAATGTTGTACTAGTAAAAATGCGTGAATTTCATTGCATCATTTCTTATTTGTATCCTTATGATTCAACGGGATATTGTTGTTTGCGATTTGCCTGTCGCCTCTGTGTGTTCTCATGTATCTTCACTCGGTCCCCTACTTGAACTTTATACGGACTTTTTTCAAGTTTTTAAGATTGTCACATGGTAGACTGATTTCCTTGCGACTTTCGAGTCCTCGTTAAATGAATGACGTCATGAATCGACGATGGACACCAGCAGAGAGACAATGTTTATTTTTTTTCTTTTAGGTGACTGCAAGAATTTCGGGAGACTCCCTTTTTGTAAACAGAATACACGTGAAAATTTCCAGGGGTTTGAGTTCTATTATGGGTATTAAGGCAGTTTTAGATTTGTCACTCAGAATTGTGGTGATTGCAAAGGCCTGCAAAATAGACGTTTTTTGAGGTGTCAATAATTGTTTTTTAATGTTTCTCCCTTTGGCGTGCAATAGACTCAAATTACGCGAAAAACAAATTATAACATGGAAATCAGAAATGAGAATGGGATTGGTTTTGATGAGTATCAGTCGATTGTTCGCCTACTAATTGGAAAAACGCCTGAAGTGTACACCTTTCACGCGATTGTGCGAAATTACCGATATAATTGAATGGATTTGTACCGCCAGATGACTTTGATTGTCACGTGTGTGCGGGTGGTTTCCGCAGAATAAATCGTTAACCTGTATTACACCTCCAAAAATAATCGCGAGTGTCTCGTCAGTGTGTTGTATATTGTTATAAAGTTCGAGAGATTAATAAGAAATTATTAGTGTACCGGCTTCCGCCAGCACTAGTAAAATCCCCCAACAAGAGATCGCACGAGTCAAGTTATATGAGTGAAGCGTTTCAGAATTAGCGTGCACGGAGCACATGCTAAACATTCAATAAACCGCCTCGAAAAGCCGACCGAAATAATCGTAATCATAAATAATCGAGTCTAAATATAATGCGTCTAGAGTTTTTGGTCCCTGGATTATCTCGCGCACCAACTGCCACGTCTAGTTAAAATGTACTCGAGACTCGGTGATTTTATAACAACAAATCCTCGTTTTTCATCTTTTTATATCGATCCGAGACACTTCAAAGTGGTTATCAAAATAATTTGGACCGTCGTTTCACCCGAGAGTCGTTAGTTGAAGGCTGTAAAATTATTATTCCGGGATTCTCGATCGGTTTCGATGCAAATCAATTGCCCTATTCAATCAAACTGAATTTGATGGTCTGGAAGAGTTGAAAATAAATATAATGAACGAGAGACTTCATCTGAAGATGTTTAAGGTTTAAAAAAAAAAAGATAATGAACATATATAAGATGCCAGAACATCCATCGATCAGGCGATTGAGCGCCAACATATCATGAGCTGATCCATTCAAAATAACATAATGGTTAACTAAGCGTGTCCGCGATGGTCATTACTACAGAATAATGCGGGTAATGGGTTACATACTAGCCTGTGACAAACAAAACTCAAATCCGAGACGGAATTACGTGTCGCACGAACAACAGCCGATGTAAGCTATACTGTGAATTTTTTTTTTTTACCACATCATCATTAACTCAAGTTGATGACTGGATTGTGGAGAATTTGATGACCAATTACTGGCCAAGGTAGAAACTCGAAATTAATAAAAATTTTAAATTGAACTCCGAAAAACTTAAAGCACTTAAAACACTTTCCAGCGTCTCAATTCACGACTTTAAGAACTCAAATTTCTATTTCCCGAATTTTCAAATTAAAACTACCAGGTCTCAAATGACTAATCTCATAATTCAAAACAGTCAAGATCAAACTTTTAGTATGTCGAAATAATTTTTGTCTTGTGTTGTTTGAATAACATAATTGCGTACGTTAAAAGCCAGTAGAGTCTTCCCCTAATATTGCCCCGAATTATTGTACATGCTTATCACCATAATTAACTAGAGTCTCGTCATCCCGATCGATTATCGATCCCGATACTTCGGGGGTCGACCTTATCCGCCTCATTTCTCCCAACTTGGTATCTCGTATGCATTTGCAACGTCGGCCCAACGGACATATGGTTGACTGGTTCAGGCGATTAGACACATTTGCATGACAATGACCCAGAGTCTGCCCACCATCGGCCACAGGGGCTTTATTACAACCACCCATAGGTCCAAGTCTAACTCAGTATGGACGACATAATGGCACTTAACCTAGTGTTGGAGAGTCGAGTTTGCGAGAAATTCAAAAAGAAAAAAAAAATCATAATAATAATAAATTCAACTCCAAGATTACCACGTTGGTCCTGCACCCGCGGCGCTGGCTTTTGTGTACAATTCACTTTTCTTTTTTGTCTCAAACCTCTCACCCACCGAATAGACTCTCTCATGTGATGTGTAACCATATTAGCTGATATGTTTTATTCCAGCTCCACCCAGCCCTCAGATGAAAGTAGAGTGAAAAAAATTTATAAAAAATTCAGACCCGCACGTTTTAGTTCGATGAAGGTTTCACCGGGGCTGGAAGAATAATAGACTGACCTCGGGTTAGAAATTAATTATAAAAGTGCGGAGTAGTCCGGTGGTACAGCACGATGGGGATGGCAATCAAGGGCCACATGAATTAATGGCCAACCCCAACTACCCCTTGGAGATAACGTCGGAATGGGGTAGTGTCTCCGCAACTTCGTTCCGCCAAGTAAAACGTTATAACCAGTACCACGACACATACTACCCGACCATCCCCTCAACCAACTTCATCCCCACAAATGTGTTTACACGTATGGAAAGAGGGGGAGGGGGGGCAGGGGCCAATAACACCAACACACGAGTCCAAGATATTATCCCTGCCCTTCGAACTCGGATATAGCATTCAATTTATAGATTGCTTGATTTTCCACACGCTCTTCCCAACTCCTCCACTTTAACACAAAAGTACTCAAAGTCTTCCTCACAGTATTCGGTGTTAAACCGCTAATTGATTGGGAGGAATATTTTGAAATATATAGAAATTAATAGTGTCATTAATTGATCGATCGATTTATCGATCTTCGAGACGATCTGGAGACGATAGAACATTTTACGAGATTCTACATATCTGAATAGCAGAAAGATGAAAATTCTATACATGAATACAATCGATTGTGATAAATAATCAATTGAAAGTTATTGAAATCATTGATTTTCGCCCATAAACACCTAAATTACCACAGGTATAAATTCCAACGAATTTCTCTTAAATTTCTAAATTTCTCTCACCTGCAATTAATGTCCCCATAAATCCCTCGTATTTTGCCATAATTCAGAATAGAATATCTCAAAATGTTCGACAAAGAGCGGGGAAAAAATGGGAGAACAATTGGTTGATACTTTAAGGAGATAAGGAGATGAGACATCCTGAAATCTCGTTTCGTCCCGCATGAGAGAAAAACATAAAAGTCTATTGCTACTGGCAACGCCGAGATATATCACCGTGCATTAAGTGGTGCCACAAAAAACTAGTAATTCACTGATCGATTTCGATGCATTCACCGATTACCAATATATATTGAGACCAATGGGTTTGGTGTACCAGCTGCTTACCGAACGGAACCAACTTACGGAGATTATAAAGCGTTTACGGTGCAGCTTCCCGCCTGCGGGCACTCCAGTACTCCTCACCCTAATCTGCATAAAAATGGTGGTACCTCAAGGGAGGGAAGGGCACAGACTCGATCCTTAATACGAGATCAGATTATGATTCTGTGGGTGGAAGGGGAATTACGTCTGCTCCGAGAAGTGAGAAGAGAAAAATTGTAAAAAGGACGATGCTTGTTACACCCAGAAAAATACACGATTCGAATGAAATAGAGACCTCCATTTAAACTTCTTTTTCATTTCAAGCAAGTCGTTAT